AAGAAAAGGTTTTAATGAAGGGAAAACCTTTTTGTTTCAATGTGTGTGAATGTTTGTATGTGTAGACACACACACACACACACACTAGGGCACTATTTGAGCCACATTTATGTAAGAATGACAATGAAAAATATAGCCGTTACGGTTCCACACAAGAGATAGAAAGTCAAATATGGTAGCTTCATATGATGAATAACGGTCATATTTTTCATTTTAATGGACAAGTAATGGAAAGCAAACAGGGCTAGGTAAACTTATAGATCATAGCTAAAATAAAAATCAAACCAACCGTAGTGTCTTCCATAAGATAGTGTGACGCAACCATCAACAATAAGATCACGACCACCAACGGATATATTGAAATTCTCCATGTGAATATCCCTAACAGCCGGTCCATCACTATGGTCATGATTTACACGTATAGCAGGCATTCCAGCTTTGACTGCTTCCATCTCCTCTAAGTGGTTTTGGTATTGTGCCTATACAACCACACAAGAGCTAATAATAAACCATACAAAAACAGAACCAAACCCCACTGTCACCAAGGCCTCCAAGCCCCTTGCCCCACCTCCACAACCAAAACATCTCTGGTCCACCCACACAGACAAAAAAGTAAAAGACATGCAGTGAAACAAAGAAAGTAACAGGCATTAACAGAAGGACTATATCTATACATGTATAATATACATATACATATACGTAAAAAGATCGTATTATTGCTATTACCCGAGACAACTTTCTCTAACAAAGAGAGGGACTTGCATTGGCTTTGCATAGTGCGAATTATAGAAAGTATATATAAATAAAAGATCTGCAGGTCAACTACTATTCCGAATATTATTTATCGTATTACCTATGCACTGTATTTAACATAAAACCTATCACTAGGAAAGCATGTAAATGTAGCAGCCACATTCCCGCATATAATCATTTGACCTTTAATGAAACTACTAATATAACATAATTATAAAAAAAAGATGATATTTTCTCTTACCTCTCTCTGGCGATCCTCTTTCCTCTTCCTCCTTTCCAGCTTCATCTTGTCACGCTCAGTCAATAAAGGACCATCCACTGGCTCTGGCTTCTTCTTTGGTGCTTCCTCTTCATCCATTCCATCATACATTCTCAATGGTGCCAAAAGGCTTCTTACTGTTGGTTTTTCTTTCACCAACCCATGCTTCCCAAATTTCTCAGAGATTTTACTACACACCTGTCATAAAATTTCACAGCAAATATTATATTCCATATCAAATAAAACACGAGAAATAATTAAGCCATCAACTCTTTTATTCAATTGTTTTAATCTTCCATCAATTCAGCTGATCAAATCTTACATAGATACATGAGTATATACGTAGCTTATAAACCAGCAAATTAGAATATAAATTTAACGAATTAAACATTTCAACGGTAATATTCTTGGGTAAAAAGAGAGAGAGAGAGAGAGAGAGAAGAAGAAGAAACAATAAGCTTTCTGATAATAAATCTTGTTTTACTATTTACTGTTTACTTTGTTTCGCTACACATACTTCTGAAATAAAGAGTTAGCTAAAGTTCAACGTGATAGCCCTCGGAAAACTAGAAAATAAGAAGAAACTTAAAGGTTCGACTATTTTTAACTCAATAACCCTTTCAATTAGAATTAAGTTTTTACACCTTCTAATTTCACGAATAAACACCTTTTAGAACCCTAAGCCCAGCAAGATAGGATAATTAAATTCCAATCGCCAGCAAATTCTCCAATGAAAGAAGTCTAATTAAACGCAAGTATGAGTACCATTGAACTATTGGAAGATTTCTTCCATCAATACGTACCGATCGGCATTCAGAGTCGTCGGTGACACAGCCCGAATCGACAAGAAGTTCGCCTAGGGCTTCAAAGGCGCCCTCTCCGTCGACACCAAAATCGAAGTCCTCATCGGCGAGGACGTTGACGATATAGTCAACAATTGGCTGGTCCACGTCTTGGATGCGCCGCCCTATGACATCGTGCACCACCGTGCTCGCCACCTCCGTCATATTCGAAGGTTGAGGATTATGGATTTTTGTGCTGAGCCGCAATAACAATGGAAAAGATAGTGCTTTTTCCGTTCTAGTGTGATCATTAGAGACTGAGGCGTCGAGACGACGACGTATAAGAAGAGTGAAGGTCGGGTGAATTGCATTTTCCCACCCCAATTTTAAGGAAATGCCGCTTTAATCTCTTTAAATTTCTTTTGTTCAAGTAAAGTCCTTTCTCCAAAACAATTAGCCCGGATCCATTAAAATGAGATTTTGAGGGAAAAATATGTTTTAAAATAATGATTTTTTTTGAGAATGTACTGTTAAAAGATTAAAAAAAATTGAATTTACGTGAAATATTATTTTACGAAAGAATATGTAATTAAAAATGAATTTTAGAAAAGATTAATATTATTCAACACACTACAGGAGAATGATATTTTACAACTAATGTTTCAACGATCAAATCAATGTGGTTGTCAAAACTATTTTTAACAGCAAAACAATACGTTTGATAGTAGAAAATGGATGGTGAACAATCGAATTTTGAATTAGTTGGAAATATATTATAACGACAAAAAAATTAGTTGTTAATCATATATTTTCTACAACCAAATTAATATTGGTCATTGTGAGGGGTGCCAAATCAAGAAATCCCATTAAAATATCTATTGATATTCAACAACCAAGTAATCGGTTTTTAGAAACACAAATAATATTATAGATATTCAACGACCATAGTTTGTCGTTGTTAATATAATAAAACAACATCTAATTTTATTTTGTTGTTGCAAGTAGAGGAAAATTCAACATTTAACGACTAGTAACTCAGTTGTTAAAGGTAACATTCAACGACCAATAGTATTAGTCATCGAAAGTTGATGACCCGGTTACCATCTCTAATTTGGTGCCAATAGTTTTCAACATTCAACCACTATACTATTGGTCGTTGAGAAAGATTATGCAGTGAAAAAAACTATTTTAATTGTTTAACATTTAAAAATAAGATAATTAACTATAAGCATAATATTCGCTGTCAAAAGCATTAAAAGAACTCCAAACAGGCTATATCCTTCTATAACTATGTGTTTTGTTAAAAAAATTTATTTTAAGACAATGTTAATATATTCCTAAACGTCATTAATCTTTTTGTCATAAACGTGTTGATAATACCTTGTATATCACTATGGCAAAATAAAAAAAAAAATCCGCCATACCCTGAAAGCGGCAAAAAATTCTCACTTCATTGGCTTGGTGGGATGGGACGGGCGAAGCGAGAACGAGTTTTTTTGTTCAGGATTTTGGTTGTTCCATCCTGTTTGAATAAAAAAATAAAATAAATGAAACGGGTGCCTTGAATCCAACCTACTGCAAAATTATCGAGGTACGCGATAAACATATAGGAAAATCCCTGACGACGGAACACGAAATGTCTACCTGCATCGAATCCACCCCGTTGCCAATAAGAGCAAGAGATTTGTTTTGACAAAGCCGATGTGATTGAGCACTAAGCGATCGTTAATACACTAATATTATATGTTGTAATAGTACAATGACATTTCAATACTAATATTGCGAATGGAAAAAGTATTTAGAGGAAAATATGTAACTCATCCCTTTATTGAGGTACATAAGTATTCTTTATATCCCTCAATCATTTAAGAATCAAAGATACATAAAGTGCGAGTGTTTTCTTGGATAGTTATAGCAGCCCATAGGCGTGAGATGTACCTTGTTGGGGGGGGGTCCCTTGGACATAGTCCTTTTCAGGCAAACTAGGGGGAGGGGCGATTATGTGTGCTAATAGGTATGGATGGCAACGAGACAGAGAGTCACGAGGTGAGGAATTAAAATACCATTCCCTTCAAGGATTTTTGTGAGTTTACGGCATGGATGGGGATTAAAGAACTCCTCTTTTACCATCCCGCTTGGTTATTTACTATTTTTAAAATTTTATTAATTATTTCATCAAATACAATTTATATGAAAAAATATGAAAATAAAATAAATAGATTTAGGGCAGTGATCCCCCATCTCATTTAACTAGTAGGAAGGGAATTTCTACTTTATTCGAGGTGGGACAATTTAGGACGAGTCGTGAATAAGTCTCTTCTAATACCATCCAAATCCTACCCCTAGATATCATAACAAAATTGTTTGGTACTTTATATGTATGAGTTTATTTAAATTTGTTATTAAGGAGAAAATTTAAATTTTTAATCATTTAATACATTATTTACTAATTAATTGCACATATATAATTAATTTAATCAATTCTATAATGAAAATCAAGTTTTTAATTGATCAATTTTTATCCTCATTTGATTTCCCTCTAAGAGTGTGTTTGATTGACATGGAAAATATGACCTAGAAAAGAAAATGTTTTTCATCTTTTGTGGAAAATAAAAATCACCTCTACCCAAAAAAAATATTTTCTTTAAAAACAAGGAAAATTAGGCATATTTTTAAAAGTTGGAAAATGTTTTTCATGAAAAAAATAGCAATTAAACACTTCAAATAAGAATTTAGGTCGAAAATTGATATTTTTCATAGAAAATAAATGTAATGAAATTTTTACTTCCCCTTTAAAATTTTCCATTCCCACTTTTTTCTTAAACATCTCTCTCCCCCGCAGTCCACACTTTTAATTTTCACCTCTCCTTTCTATTAAAAATTTCAAATCCCAAATCTCTTTCACCGCCTCCTCCCACTCTCTTTAAATTCAAACCGCCATTTCTCCCTATCATCTCGGTTACTGTAATGGGTGGCGTGGGACTATTGGGAGATTTGGTGATGCATGGAGCTTAGTTGCAATGATAACGGTGGTATCATGGGTTTTTCATATTTTGCCTGGTAAATCAATTTTTTACCGGTTACCTAATCTGGGTTTTTCATATATTGGTGTTTTCTATTTTTTGTGGTTTTTTTAATATATTTTTTGTGTGAAAAGTTCTATACTTTGAATTGGTATGGTGTAGTTTTCAAGTAATGGATGCGTTTTTAATTGTCTAATAGTGATTTGTTGTTCTTGTCCAAATAAACTAGTTATTGTCATGCGGTTTATTTTATTTTTTATTTTTTCAGTGGGAGTAATGTTGGAAATAATGTTACTCCACCAAAGATGAGAACGAATTACAAATAGAAAAATTATCGAAAGAAGTATAGGAGATGAACAAATGGCAAAGGATATATGAAGAACATTGAAGGCTCAAACACAATCTTTGATTGTTATCCTCAAACGAATTTTGCCCCCACTATTTTGGTGTTTAAAGGGTGATCCGGCAAAAGGTTTGAAGGATTAATCAAGTTTTATAGAGATTCAAACACTAAACACTTGTTTGAATCTCTAAAACTTAAGAACACAAAGAAAAGATGAATATGAGAGGGTATTTTATCTTTTGGATTTGATCTCAAGAAGGATCAATATAATAAGTGTTTTTTCAACATTTTTCAATGACCCAAGATCACCTATTTATAGCCAAGTAGTATAGCTTTACGAAGTGGTGCACCTTATGGATGAAAAGCCACCAAAAAATCAACAAAAAAGACCCAACGATCGTTTTTTCTGTACCATGCGGTCGCATGGTACAAACCCATGCGGTCGCATGGTACAATCCTACCGAGACCATATGGTCTCGGTAGGGTTCCATGCGGTCGCATGGGCCTAATTTTTATTTTATTTTATTTTTATTTTTATTGTTGGTTTTGAACAATTATACCACTTCATAACAATCCCCCACTTGTTCAAAATTAACAAGTTTCTCATTATTCAAATTATACGATACTCATGCGTAAGGATTAGATATCTTTCGATTTGAATCTAACCATAGTGTAATTCAAACAAAGTAAAGTCGAAATTCAAGGTAGCGTGAAGCTTTGAACCAAGTATTTCATGTGACAATACCGGTAAGAACACACACACAAATATCACGTGTTCTCAAGTTTCTCGTTTCTCGCTTAGCGCTTTTATGGCCTTGCGCTTATCCTTTTCAATAAACTTTTAAGAGAGAACTCCAACTCTCTATTAAGGCGGCACCACCTTGAAGTTTATTTAGGTAAAGTTCTTCCAGTACCTTTGTTACTTTTAGAAGTACTTGTGGTTTTACACTGAACTTTATTAAGAGCTTATAGCTCAATCCTCGTTTTAGTAACAACCAGCATTATATTAATCTAGGATAGGATTATAGCGGATTATAATAATGCTGTAACTATCCACATATCGAATGACTTGTTGATACCCTTTGAACCCGTGAAAAACCTTTTGAGTAACGACAGGTAGGGTTGCCATCATTGGTGGATATTTCAGTTAAGGAGTTTCAATCCCATCCTACTTGAAGTAGATGCCACTAAATCTCTATTTAGAGGTTTAGTTAGAGGATCCGCCAAATTTTCATTCGACCTTACATAATTTAGGGAAATTATTCCATCCTTGATTAACTTCCTTATGTAGTTGTGTCTAAGACTCATATGTCTAGACTTCCCGTTATATACATCATTGAAGTCAAGTAATTGTCTTCAAAAAGAACAAGAACTTAAATGGAGCAGATCGAAAGACAATTAACCACAAATGTTAATGCTTTGTTCAACAAACTGAAAACCGGGGAGATAGTTGCTTTTAAATTGTAAGAAGCCCAAGGCACTTAACATTGAAATGTTATTAAGCATCAGATGTCAAACCTGAAGCTTATAATTGGTGGTCCGGGTCTATCATCAGGAGATGGGAATTCAAACTTGTAGCTGCCCACCATAAAATGGAATACAGATCAGAATTTATGCGAAGGCATCAAAATCAATATTTTTCTAGTAACATGTCAACAATGAGTTAAAATCAATAATTAATTACAAACTGCACAAATAAAAATGAAAATATAGGCATCAATATTATCATAAAAAAATAAAAAAATAAAAAAGATTGCATACTCTGGATCATTTATAATTTCATCCATGCGACCCAACCGCTCCAGTGCCTGGTAAATATGAGGAAGAGTGAGAATGTAACTCATCGTTTAATAGAAGAAATCGCAAAAGTATTTATGCCCAAAATTTTATTAGCATAGCATCATGATACAATTGAATGAAAGCTGTAAATGGAACTAGTCACTAGGTCATCTTTCACAAGTGAGATCACGCAATTTGATTGAC